GAGGAGAGGGAGGCAGAAAAAACAGAGAGAGAGAGAGAAAAGAGAGAAGGAGGAAGAGAAGATGATGAAAGAAGAGATACCTTCTCTGCTCATGTGTCTGACTCGCCCATCTCCAGCTCCTGCCGTCATTACAACCAGGGACAGGACCCGACAGTCAGCAGCTTCTGCTACTGCTTGTGTAGTTGTCGCTACGGTCAGTCCCGACAACTCCCGGCATGTCCCATGTTGCTCAGTCTGCCGAGAACTCTCTGCGCATTCGGGAAACTTCCCAATTATGGAAATCCTTGGTGATGCAAAGACAATACCAGTTTGTGTTTCTTCAGGCCAGACCGTCACTTTCAAGACAGAAGCGGTTGAGGCGCCTTTTGTCAACTTCTTGTACAACTTTATTTTATGTCGGCCGGTGGTGTGTTCTCTTTGGAAGTTTTTTTTTTTTTAAACAGAACAAAACAAAAAAGAGAAAAAAAACGACAAATCCCTAAAACAGGGCAAAAAGTGATCACGAAATCCAAACATTAAAATGACTACAATGTTTACGATAAACAATAAAGATAAAGTGGAACTGGGATATATTGTGTCCTCAGCGCTACGTCACTATGTGTAGTTCTAAATGGCTCGCCCTGTATCTCTGTGTCTTGCTGCTGCTACAAACATTCTGGAAGTAGAAACAATAAATATTATAAAAAGTAAAACAAAAGAGACAGCTGGAACTGCCAGCGTAGATCCATCCATCCACCACCACCAACTTGTTGTGCGCCGAGATCACGTGACGTGGCCCCAGCAGCCACCGCGGCGGGAGGGAGCGGAAGCGGAAGTGGAGCAGACGTGAGGCTTGTCGTCTGCCCAGTGCCCAGCCTAGTCGTGCAGCTAGCTAGAGTTGTCTGCCCACTTGGTGAAAGGAACACGGCGGCAGACGGCAGTGACGATATGGACCTCATTTCAACCTGACTGTTGCATAATAACTGTGGCGTCGGTGGCTTAGTGGTTAGGCTCTCGGACTCGCAACCGTTAGGTCGTGGATTCGAATCCCGTCAGGGACC